AAACAAACGTTCACTTTACAAAGATATTTTAATTTTTTAAAACAAATTAATCACCCTGTCAAAATCCTTTGTGTTACGGCATTGAAATTCGAACAATACGTTATTTCAATGATTTTGGGTTTTTTTTAGACACCCTGTATAACTGAACAGACAACGGCAAAATCTTATCTATTTGTTAAGTAGTGAACGCCGCCTTGGAAGAATTGAGTGTGAAGTCCCATGGGACCTTGTTGACATGTTGTCTCCCCAAACCAGTTCTGTGAACAAAATTTAAGTAATTTTACGAATATTATAAACGACAGCTTAATAAATACCTTAGCACCACTAAAAGCGATGAAAGTTCACAGTATTGACCGTCCTTGGATTAATAGCAACTTGAAACTCTGATTAATTAAGAAAAAGACTAAAGGCCCTTGCACAAAATAATCAATCATTATATAGAGAGCTACGTAATAAAGTTAATCGGACAAGGAAAAGTTGCGTAAAGCCAATGTAAAGTTCCGACGTAACAAATTTGAATTTAATCCATCAAAATACAAGGAGGTCGCGTGGTCACATAGAATTCTGACGAAATCAGTCCGATCCCCCCTCCCCCCCATTTCTGTTAGCGAAACAAACATTGATCGAGTAGGGAAAGCAACAATTCTCGGGTTATTGATAACGGATGATCTCAAATGGGATGGGCACATAGATAAAATAACGAGCTGCAACAGATGATTCCCCTTATTACGTTTTCGTAGCGCTTTGCATTATGGTTATAATGGTATCACTGATATCCAAGATGGCTTATTTTTTGTCCCGACCCGTGCAAGAACTTTTAAAAAAGCTAGGTGCACGATAGCCAACAGCAAAATATTCGCGAAAACATTCAATATTTTCATTCGAGGCCGCTATCTTTATCAGTGATACCATGCACTATAACCACAATGCAAAGCGCTACGAAAACGTAATAAGGGAATCATCTATTAGCGAAAACGATACATTTATTGAAACAACTCCTGTCTGAATAACAGTGATCTAAAATGTTTCTATGTGGTATCAATAAGACTCGCTAGAATATACATGTCAAGTTTGCCATCACCGACTACCGCAGTATCTATCTGATAGGGTCCACATAGCTTAGGGTACTTAGAATTTGAGGAATGCAAAATCATTTTTTATTCATAACTATCGTACAAATACTGTGGATTACGGGACACTTTTTATTATATCGGGTCTTATTTAACTGTACATTAAAATATATAGATAAATACAGTATTGATATTTTTTTGTAAATATTTAATTTTAATATTTATGTCTTATGAATGACTATAAATTTCATAATTGAATTAATGATATGATACTATATCGGATAACAAGACCTACTGACTAATGGTCCTGCCTTTCATAAATACACTGTCTTGCTATACTAGCCTAAATTGAAACTACTCTAAACTTGTAAATATTAGTTGAAACTACTAATTTGTAAATAGCTAGTATTGTTATACTTGGTAGATTAGTTAATTATTAATATTAGTTACTCTGAATACCTGTAAATAGGTCATGCGAATAAAGCTCTTTTAAGCGTTAAGCGAGATCATTGTGTAAACAACATGTCATAAGATTTCTAAATTATCTTATTCAGGCATATTGTAAACACTGCGGCATGAAATATAAACTCATTTTTACTGATAAAATCGATAACTCATTCACCCATTGAGGGAACTGACTCGGTGTTTAACACTATAAAATATTAGGGCAGGCGTTTGTTTCACGGCTCATGCATATATGTACCCTGCTACGCATCTTAGATATAGCAATACCAGATTCGCTTTTCACGGCAACGAATTTCATGGGAAGACACTGAGTATGAACGGCATATGTTGATGTTGTAAATTACTTGTAATCGAATCCGGTATCGTGTAACTGGGCACTTGACTCCTTGACGCGCTGCTAATGGGGGTAGTGCCTTATAAAGGCAATCAGCGTAATGTGAGACGCGTAAAATGGCGCAATACTATGTCGCAAACATTATTCATATTGAATTGTAATACTCTTTCTAAACCTATTTATACACTATAGCATATGCGCAAAACCTGCCCTTCCAAAAGCATATTCTGAAATAGTCTGAAACACAATAAAATTTTGATTGTAAGGTCTTACGTTTGTTGGATAATTTGACTGATATGAATGCAGTTGAAATTCAGCATGCATATATATATGTATAGCAACGAATACTGTAATACTGTCCTGATTTCCTGGATAGTTCTAAGTATTTTACACCCACTAACAGCAAAAACTTTCTGGGTAACAGCTTGATATTCAAAATATTACACAAATTTAAACGTGCCGATAAAAACGTCGCACTTAATTGACTCCTGAAAAAATAACTTTAGAACTGCTCTACGTTCTGGAAACACGTTTTGTATTAAATTTCAGGTATTGTTGAAAGTTTTTAGCTTTTTTCCTTGTTGAAATACAGCTATTTAGTGCTCAAAAACAGATGTCTTTTCGGTGGCGTATTTCCCACTCCATGCGTACATGGCGGCCATCATGAGTGACTTCAAAGATGGCGGCCAAGTTATCGTTCCAGTTCCCTTACAGTTCACTGGGATAACCACAGGATAACTTTTGTATTAAATTGTGTTTAACTTTTGTGTTTAATTGGGGATCAGTATATGGTGGCCTAGGAATGCCATTAGAAATATCTGTTAACAATTGCATATTTTGTATGAAAAAAAAATTAAAATGAAAAAAATATTAAATAAGAAAAATAAAATAAATATTAAATAAAATATTTTAAAAATATTATGAAGTTATTTTAAATTTTATCCTAATTTTTTTTGTTTTTATTTCAAAGTGAAACAAAAAAAATAGATATGGCCTATTAGTGCCATAATTTTTTTTGGAAAAAAAAATTACCAGTGGCCTATGAGTGTCATAGACCATAATGCAATTCAGGCTCAAAGAGAGAGAGAGAGAGAGTAAATAATAAATATGGCTGCCGACCGTATCAGAAATGGCGAATGGATGGGTGACCTCGAGCTCAAAGATGACTTACCCGATTATGTAAAGCGAAATTGGCGGAAAAAGGAGATATTGGACTTTATTCAGACAAAGTACCCCATGTACGCTTGGAGTGAGCGGACTTTGTCCCGCAGATTACAATATTTTGATATTAAATTCACTGATTACGAGGTAGATGTTGCTACTGTAGAGGAAGCAGTAAGGAGAGAATTAGAGGGCCCTGGACAACTTCTCGGATATCGTGCAATGCAACAAAAGTTACGGGAGGTTCACGGTCTCAGTGTACCTAGAGATCTCGTGTACGCAGTGATGGGGAATTTATGTCCTCAAGCACTAGAAGCTAGAGGGGCTGTAGGAAAGGCAAAACGACCCAAGAGGAATAGTTCTTTTGTCACAGGGGTATGTATTTCGTTAAAAAATGAAACGTGGAGTGAAGTCAGTATGAATTGCTAAATAAACTTTCTTGTTCTGGGAATCAATAGGGAGCAGACTGTACTATGTCTCTGGACGGCCATGATAAGCTCTGTGGCTATCAGAATTCTACATTTCCACTCTGTATATATGGTGGACAAGACACATACAGTGCTCGCATCAACTTTTTAAGAATTTGGACAACAAACAGCAATGCGAAAATTATTGGAAGATTTTACATGGACTATCTTTGTGAAAGAAGAGGTATAAAACCTGCCCTGGAATGTTTAAAACTGAATTACATCCGAAGCTACACATGTTTACTGCCATTGCTTTGGCCAGACAATTACATTTTCTGGCCAATAAACATGCTGTACTGGTTGGCAGCTCTGCCCACTTAAATGCAACCAAGCTCGCGACCTGACAAGACCGATAACGTGTTGTTTTTAGATTTAGTTTTCAAAAGTACCTTTTCACATTCGTATATTTGGGGCCTATCCAGGTTTTGCTGAAGGTTTAGGATTGTGAGGGTTTCAAACGTTTTTTTGACCCGGTCAGCTTCCGATAATTGAAGTGGTCCTGCGGGTTGCAATGTAGAAAGTTGAATCTGATAGTTCGTTATCAATTGATTTTTTCTATGTACGTATATATAGTGTATTTGTCTGACATTTAGGGATCGCAGTAATTGGTGCAAGCTGTTGTGATTGCCCTGCCAGTTTTTTTGTGTTAACGTTGTTTAAATCTGGCAAAGTTAATAAATTAATTAAATTAAATTAATTAATTTAATTAAATTAATCTTTCTAATCTGTAATAGTTGTTTAATTAATTAAAAGCTATACATATTCTAATTTTGAAAAAAATAAAATCATTGTAAATATTATAATGATTACTGGTTTAATTTGTTCTCATTGCATCATTTGCATAGTGCTTCCCCTAAATGTAAGAGTGGACAGAGGGACAGAAACAGGAATATTAACCACAATGCATTGCTTCCTACGAGAGAAGTTTGAAGATCTTGATGATCCAACTGATCCTGTCATCTTTGGGCCATCTACCCAAAACAAGATTGAAAGGTGGTGGCGCGAACTTCTTGAAAGAATGGAGAGGTTCTTCAAGAATCAATTATCATCACTGGTTGCATGAAGATGAAAATTATTGTCCCGATGATGCAACCGACAGGTAATATGGAAATTTACTGTCTTTTTTGCTAAATCTTGAGTAATTTTATGATTTCATAATGACCCAAATATTATCCTTTACAGTACTTCTTTACGGTGCATATTTGCATTTTTGAAAAGGTCTTATACTGCACCGAATTTGTTGAACAGTTAGAAGGCATAGAACTGCAAATGTTATATCTATCTAGGAACCATATATATATATATATATATATATATATATATATATATCCCTGTTTTGCAAAAAGAGTTGGACACATTTCGAGTATCAGTGTGGAATAATCACCGAATGCGTAAGCAACGAGGCAAAGAACTACCTACTGGGGTACCAGAACACATTTACCACTACCCAGATGAATATGGAGGAGAAAGGTGTGGGCTTGCCCTCAAAGATGAACAACTCCAAGAAGTGGCAGAAGTATCAAGTGTTCTTGATGGAAGTAATGACTATTTAGATAAAGCGTTCCATAATGAATGTGAAAGACATGTTCCTAACACTGATGACATTGAACCATCACAAGCTGCAAATGCATACTTATATTTGAAAACTAATTTTGATGAAACCATAATGTAAATAGTCCAGTTTTCACATTTTACTGATTATTAAAAGCATTGAATTGAATTGAACATGGAAATATCTCAAAAAGATCAATGCAAATCTTCAGTTCCAAAAATATCAACATAAACATATTTTAAAAGTTCTTAGCACTTTGGTTGTTTTTCCAACAGCACTAGACTAACGCATCTAGACCAACATCTAGACTAATGCCTGTATTCTAAAAGCACACTCACACTCGATGAGTGGAGGTTCAATCCGAGCTTCTGAGAGTCACATAGTAAGGTATGACACTGACCCTCTAGCTATTCAAAAACAGCAATGACACTCTAGAGAAGCTCAGATTGAACTTCCACCCATTGAGTGTGAGTGAGCTTTTAGAATACGGGCATAAGAGTGACTCATATCTGGCACACATCAATGTGAATCCCGTGATAGGCCCAAGGAAGGAGGGAGGCCAGGGTAGTGGAAGATGGAATTTTAACCCAAAGTCACTGCAGCAATTTAAATTCCTTTTCTTACACAGACCTTTAATCCCCCCTCTGGGCATAAAACATTGATAAGTGCATAACACAACCACAACATTAGAATTTTACATATACAATATTCAATGCCTGATTAATACCTTCTTAAAATGTGTCAATAACATAGTCTAGTCAGAGTGAATAGACAGTAAATTACAGAATTTGTTGCAGCTGTGATTGGCAAAGAAGTTTCCAATGGCCTCAGTCGACAAGTTACCGATACAGAAAAATAGTGAGTCATCTTTGGGATCAGTTAGACCAGAGGATGCAATTTCTGGATCACACAGTTGATAATCCACTCCCTGAATGTCTGTGACCATCAACTGCTTCTTTGAACGCACATAAGTGTAATGGACAAATGCTTCAGCTTTTAACACAATTTCAGATGCTTCTTCTCCAGCTTGTAAACATATCTCCCCATCATTGTTGATAAACTTCTCAAATGTCCCCTCAAGAAATGTTTCCAGAGTAACATATTCCTCATTTAGAACCGAGTAGTACACCTTGTTGTAACGGAAGGTCGTGCCAAATTCCAAGCATGGTACTTCCGAGGCCATGTTTTGGGCAATGTTTCTTGCCAGAGCATTGAGCTGTACAGCTTTCCTCGTATGTGCCTCAAGCGATCCAAATAATTCTGTGATTTCGTCGGTTTTATCTTTCAAATATTTCTTCAAGACGTATTTGCCAGTAGGAAGGCCACTCAATACATTCGCTACGTAAGCTTCTCGAAATGATCCTTCAGCAAATGGCATTCTACGAAAGGATATCCATTCCATGTTAGCTATCGAAAACTCCTCCAAATCTAATGTAATTATGTCAATCCGGATTTATGACCTTTCCAATTTTCAGCATCTTACTAAGTAAAATACATGGCGCCACAGACATGAATAATCGTGAGCTCAAATTTTCAGATTTCGCCGTTACATTTGTGTGGATACTTCGTTTCTTTGGGCTATGTTTGGTAGGCTTACTTTGACGGCTGACGGCAGGGACAAGGTTTTGAGCGCATTCAATGAATCGCACGTGTATCACTTTCCAATTTTTTATTTGAGATGTGCTTGTATACGATGTGCCACGTTCACCAGCGAGTACATCGCATTCCGATTCAGTATCAAAATGAACTTTGCATGCATCCTTGATTGTTTCTAGTGTGGCTTCTTTGTCTTCCATTGGCACCCATGTCAAGGGTCCAATTTGCGTGTACGTCTGACATTTGCCTTCGACATTGGCAGATAAACGCTGCATGGTTATACCACTTTCGAGTTTCGACATTAAAAGATTGATTTTTCTCGCCGTGAGAGTTCTTTCATCTCTTTTTTGCGATTTTATCTTTATAATAAATTATCCCATAATCATCCCGGTCTATAAATATTTATATTCACAGAACTGCAGATACCTTTTACTGTAAATATAAAACTAAAAATTCTAAAAAGCACGTTTGCTTTCAGGTCCAGGTTTGTTTCAATTTCAAGGTGGCAAATCTACGGCAACCGCCCGCCTGCGAACGGGCATTATGGTCCACCGTCTATAGCACTTATAGGCCACTGGTAATTTTTTTTTTTCAAAAAATAATTATGGCACTAATAGGCCATATCTACTTTTTTTTGTTTCACTTTGTTTTCACAAAATTAGGATAAAATTTAAAATAACTTCATAATATTTTTAAAATATTTTATTTAATATTTATTTTATTTTTCTTATTTTAATATTTTTTTCATTTAAAATTTTTTTCATACAAAATATGCAATTGTTAACAGATATTTCTAACGGCATTCCTAGGCCACCATAGATCAGTTTGCCTCGAGTTTACTGTTTACTATAAATCGGATGATCTCGAACGACTACGACTGGAGTGATCTTTTTAAAGTTTTTATATTATTTTCGAAAGCGTTCTTCTTGCTCGAAAGTCGAAACAATGGATTTATCTGCCATGAACTCATGATTTCTCGAGCAGATACGTTCTACAAATGTGTAAGTCGATTGAAATATAT